AAAAAATGTAGTCATGACCTGTGTTCTTGAACTATCCTCTTTTGCTTTGACTAGATCACTTCATCTTGGTAAACATTGCTTTGATAGTGCTTTGTCTTTCAACTCATACTAGTAAAGCCATGTATCCTTTCCTGATAAAATTCTTCCAAGCAGTGCTTGAGGATCTTAATTAAACTTGTTTAAGAGCTCCGTGGAAAGCACTGCTCTGGTCTACAGCTGACCTGGGTACTTAGCAAGCAGAATGCTTGCTCAACTTTAACCTTTCCATCACACTGGTGTCAGCAGACCCAACAGAGATGTCTGTGGTGTTGGTTACTGTTTCCACTTTTAATGCTTGGTCCTCTTCAGTTAGGACATAAACAAGACAAATAAACAAGATTCATAAACTGATGTGGATGGTCTGACACTTTGGGATGCATCTTCAGCATCACCTCCTCCCTTCTTAAGACAAGTTATCCATGTGTAAGCTGCTGATTTCCTTTTTTTGGGTTAAATTTAAAGACCCCTTGGATTAGCCTAACCAACTCTGGTGACATGCAGGGAGGGGTTTAGGTGGAGGAAAATGGAGAATGATCTTACTTAATGACTATCAGATTGAGTCAACAAAGGGATGCTCATTCAATGATACACCACACAGAACAGGCTGTGGGTAGATGCAATCTGAGTGCCTCAGCCAAGGCAGACTGAGGACAGTAGGAAAGCACTGAACAACAGAGGCCTACAGGCTTGTGTATGCACTGTTTATGAGGCACATATAACTTCATCCCATGAGTCATTTCCTATAAACAGAAGAACCTAGCAGTCAGTTATTGTTCACTTTAGAAAACAGCTCAAAATCACCTCTTTCAAAAAAGAAATGAATCGTGATACTTTTTTAAGTCAATTAAAATTATTACCCAGGATCTACAAATAGCCTCCTGCCTTCCTGTCCTTCTTCCTCTCTGAACAGTATTTGGTTTATTAAAGGATTTTTACCTTCTAATGACACCGTCAACATTCTCTGCTGAATGATAGAAATTATAGAAAAGCTGTTGAGAGTCAGAAGGCAGTCCAGAAAGGCAACCAAGTGAATGTTACAGAATATAAAAAGTAGATACTTTCCAAACTCCCATTTTCAGCAGGAAAGACTATGAAATAGTAATTACTGATCTTTCCTATTGAAAAGGAATAAAATTCAACTTGACAACTGCATTTTAAAAGTACTTGAAAGGAGCAGCAAGGTACAAATTTTCTGTGAAAATGACAGGCCTTCATTAGTCATCCCGTGACAAGTGAAAGGAAATTGGGAAGACAGAGTCCACCCACCTCGCCTCGGTATCTTGCTGCATTCAGTTCCATGAAATCCTCGCTGTAGTTCACTGAGAAGTTGAGGGTATTCACCAGATGGGCAGCCACATGCACACCTAGAGAATCACACCAGGCACGAATCAGTGGGATGTGCTCCAAGACAAGGAGTCATTTATCTCCTTAGGGCTAAACTCAGGGCTAAACTTTGACAGTTATATGAACAGTGGAATAGACCTTGCTCTACCAAAATTACGAAGCCCTC